GACCCGTTGTGTGTGTAATAACCAAAAGGTTCTTTAATTGGTATATGATAGGAGTTAAATAATGAAGATGATTGATAAATATTTAAGGATTAAGAATAATTAATGAATTATACTCATAATTCATGTAACTAGGAAGTTAGAATATAATATATTAATTTAATAGTAAATTACAGAATAACTGTAATAATAAAAAAATGGGGGAGCGGTCGGGCCCCTCACACGCCCGGACCAGTGGAAGACTTTCCAACTATCTATAACTCTTCCTCCTAAAAGGTAGGGAAGGGTATTACTATTTATTAATGCACTCTGATGGTAATAAGTGCATGAGTATTCTCAGTTCCAAACCAAACATAAGTACATTTACTTCAACATTACAGTGGCTCCACCAGCCCCACGATGCTTCCAGTATAAATTGGAGTTTGCCAGAGGCAAAAGGATCGGAACTGAAATCCCAGGATCACTCCGACACGAGAGCTTACTCATGGGCGATGACCCTTTCAGTCCTATATGGCGACATAGAGATCACCCACTAACAGTACGAAACTGTTTCCCAGCGTCACCCTGTTACGAGCTTACTCAATGGGGGTTTCCCTTCGGCTCCACAAGAGATCAGACCAAGAAGCGAGATCACCCAGACACCAGAACTTACTTTGATGGGACATAACCCTTCGGCCCTATAATGTGACATTAGAGATCACCTGTGAAGACAGTCCGATAGAGATGAAGATTTGTGTGATAGGGGATACCTTCCACACCCTGGAATTGGCCAAGCCATATAATGTTGATAATTGCTATATCATAACATAGCATTGTCAATTTAATATTATTTACTTAATACCAAGAATACTCAAGGTTCAAGTTAAATCTGTTGATTAGGCCGGAGCCTAAGAACGAGTAGTCCAACCCATAGGTCGAGAGCTACTAAAAGTAATGAGTGCTATTGAATGAACTATAAGTCCAGTCAATTATATATAATATTATTGTTGATTAACCACATTGTGAATTAACCAATTATTTATTCAGAGAGATATATCTAAAGGAACTATAAGTCCTTTAAAAGACACTGATTAATCACAAGTTAACAACGTCTCGTGAAATAACCAGTTGGGTTTTCTATAAGTTTGAGGACACTAAGTCCAACAAGCTATTATTGTGTTGAGAGTAATAGAGATCTTTTGTAATATTTGTAGAGGTTTGATTAATCACATTGTGAAATAATCAGATTAAATAATTATGTAGCTTTATAGAGAGGACTATAAGTCCTAATTGGTTGTTGTCATAAGTACTGATAAATTACACATTAAAGTGCCAGGTCAATTATTATATATAGGTATATAGGAAGGACAATAAGTCCTATTTGTGTATGTTGTAGTAGTAGAGGCAATATATTGCATAATTATAATGTGAAAGATATAGATTAAATATATATTTGTATAGAAAGGACAGTAAGTCTTATACAATTATTGTAGCTGTACTATAGTTATACTATATTTACTTCCTTTTAGTGTCTTAGTAAACCTATTTACTAAGAAGATTTCTAGGATAAACAAGTGTTTTAGTGTTTAAATCATCATGATTAAATCCCTAAGAAATTAGGTCTTTAAATAATTATCATATCATTTAAGTGAAATTTCTCATATAAATAATTCCAATATTCCCCCTACAGTTATTATAAAATAACAGAATATTATATAAATTTTCTATAGACTTAGATATAGAATCATAACGTGTATAATCTCCTTTTGTTTGACATCTGTCACATTAATGACGTATTGAATGACGTATTGATATATTGAATTGAATTTTGATTATCTATCACAACTGTCAACGTAACAAATACTAGCAAGTTTGTTTATTTGTATTTGTTTAATATAACTAAATATAAAATCATCATATATCAACCGTAATATACAACTAAATTATCAGTGACATAAATAATCATGGTTTACACCAGAAATAATTAATAGTATCCAGTAATGCTGCAGTTTTATATTCATATCAGTAGCCAAGCTTACTCTCAAATTCAAGAATAAACAGAAGATTAGAAGTTTAACATTCTTATTGCAATTGTACTTGCAATAATATATACATACAGTACTAATTATCAAGAACATTCCTCAAATACATGTGTGGTGAAGATTTTCCCAATATGCTATCTATTTGATTTCTAAACTCTAATGTAAATTTATTAAAGAAGTGAATAATCAGTGTTAGTGTTTGCTTTATTAATATTTAAAGTAATTGTCCTAACTTGATATTAATAGGTTCATATCTCCTTGGATGCAGCCCAACATATACAACTAACTCGATAATGAAATTTATAAAATACTAATATTATATTTTATTACTTGTATATCTCCATTCTATTCCCATAAATATTCAAAATATGTATATTAAATATAAATCCAATAAAGATTCACTAATTTTAACCCTGTCTGAACTTGTCTAGTCAATATAGCATGAACAAACAACACACATACAAACCTTATCGCCATGACAACTTTCTTCCTAAATATGAGTAAAATACATAGCTCACACTTGTCATTTAGTACTAATTTTATACTGTATCTCATACCTAGTTAAGAGTAACTATAGTCAGAGAATCCTTTAGTACATTTATTACCATTAGGAAATAAATCCACACCCATAATATCAGCATAATTAAATATTATTAGAAACCAGTAATACACACAGAATTGTTATTATCAGCTTGCTTACTACAACAAAATCAATATTAAAGTTTATAATAAATCAAGACAAAATATCTATTTAAACAATACAGGCTTGTTTACCATAAACATCCCACCGTTACATGAATTTATCTACTAACACAATAATGTATTAAAAGTAATACATTCACATAAAATCACCTGCAACAGCTAAGCTGTTTCTCTGTACATCTGGAGTAAAACAAATCCCCACATGTAGTCATGGATAATCAAATATAGACTAAGAATCATTAATCTGGTCGACCGAGTAATGGTATAAAAACACTTCACCATGAAGCGTTAAGTATGAATAGATATTCTAAACCGACACTGTAATAGTGTAATAAATACAAATATTTCATCATCATCATCGTCTCAACCATCACCAACCCACGACTGAACACAGGCAATTTCCACCGACTGACACAAGGAACGGCCCCACAATACACATAAAACAGTCACTCCAAACAATGGAGGTAGCCCACACCGCACTTGCATTCACAGGGTCGCCACTCAATAACCCCTCTCTCTCATCAATGGTTGTTTTCCCAGCAATGAGACCAGACCATAGTTACTTTAGTCTATTATCCTCAATAAATAAATACTTTATAATAACTAGATATGAAACTAGTTAGTATTGTAATAGTTCAATAGTTGATTCAATAAGTATTTTCCAAAACTGGACAATTAGAACATTGAATCAAATTGATGAAGTTCTATCAAACGACCATATAATTGGATTTTGTATATGAGTAAAATAACGTAAGTACGTAAATTATATTGATGTAAACTTTGTTTAAATGTGATTGCATTTAACGATATACGCATTACCTAAAGGTATATGGACTCGACTAAATACGTATTTTAATAGTTGTTGGGAAAAATATTAAGTATAGACTTTGCCTGTGATCACAGTCAAAAATCTAACTACGTAGTAATAAATGGAACAAGCTCACCGGATTCTCCAGTCTTCTATTGATTAATTTCACACACTTAATCGATAGTGATACACTAAGATCTCAAACCCCTTCGTCGATCCAGTCCCTCCTAGATCTATATCCCAGTTAATTTTTTATTTTATTGCGCAATCCCTAAAACACGACTCCCCGCCATTTGCCGTCCTTTTTTTTTTTTTTTTTTTTTTTTTTTTTGCGAAATTCTTAAAAATCGACTCTCTTTTTTCTTTTTTTTTTTTCTATTCTTTCTCTAATAACGTCATAGATTATGTCACCGAAGGGTATATTTCAATAATCAGATTTAGCCTATTATTCGAACTGGACTTTTCTTTAAATTCAATTTAATTATATGTTAACGTATTTTGGTATTTTCTATTAAATTGATTATCGAATTTATAAAACTTTAAAGACTCTCATAAACCTTATTAAACTGTGTTGTATGCATCCTTTTTACACCTGATGAGAAAAAGATAAACTATAATTTGGTTAATATAAAATATAATATATTTTTGTTTAATTTATTTAATTTTCTTGTGACGTCCACTACACTTTGGAAACACATCAAAGGAGTTTCCCTTCTGTGTCAATATTTCATATATGGTAACGTCTTCTCTGTATACTATTGTGAACCTTGACTTTAAAGTTTGTTTATATTAAATAGCTCAGCTTTCGCAGCGGTCACCCATAGGAACCCCTGTTTCTTTTCTATGTACTTATGGTATTAAACCTATTGTACTATAGGCGAACCGTCACAATGGGTAGTTTGAAAAACTGTCAACGGCACCCAAGTTATGAAACGAGATTCTAAATTGAAAATAAATAACAAACAAATAATAGCACATTTTTTTGTGAGAAAAAAGTGACTGATTACGAACTAGTGTAACATATGGGGTGTAGAAGGCGAGGGCTTCAAATCACACAAGACGGTTATCATATTTTTCCCTGTGACATATAGCAGTGCTTTATAATACACCTACAAAGAAATCATAACATAGATTGTAATACCTCATTTTTTATTTATATTAAAGTTTTTATCATTGTTGAAACTTCTTGTATTATTAATTTTATAATATATATTTTGATTATCTGACAGCTGATTATTATCTATTTATACTTTGCATTTATAAATAGTGGACAGATGAGTATAGTAATAAGATTTGGGATATAATTTCTAAGGTAGTAAAAAAAGTCTCAACTCAAATAAAAAGGTCTAGGGTTGGTCACTTTAGAAACCAAAATTTCGATATTGACTGGGTCAGAATCTTTTTATCACAGAGATCAATCCTAATTCGCAGCCCTATCGAGCTATAAATTAAGAATATCGTTCGCTTCGCAGGTTGCACATGTCTTCGGTTTACGTCCACGTACGGTAAGGAACGCGGCACGTTCAGCAGCCCCGACTACCCGCGGCCGTACCCGGCGCAGATTGACTGCCTGCTCTACACCTTCGTCGCGGCGCCGCACCAAATCGTCGAGCTTGTGTTCACCGACTTCGACATTTACAAGGAGCATCTCGAGTGAGTACGAACCTTTACTTACTTATTATTAAGACCATAAAATATTGTCATTAGTATTACACTGAGCATGAGTCTTTTCTCAGAATATAATATCTTTCATATAATCCTAATTACATTTGAATGCTAGTCAGATGGATGATATAGGATTTTATTTTTATTTCCTTGCTCTGGTGTATTATGTGTTTTTCCTTTTGTCAGCAAAAAGAAGTGGTGACAATTTCCAAATTTGATTTATCTTTTAATGTCATTGAATTATATTTTGTTAACGGTTAAATGCACTGCAAATAGTATACAGATTAAATAATCCTCACAGAAAAGCTATAAGATTAGATAACTATCACGTTATCTATAAGGAAAACAAGATATGTCTGTTAATTTCATTACGTAACTGGAATTAAATATTTATTATTACATTTTGTTTAATTATGACTTGGAATTTGTTTACGATTATTTATTTATTCGTTACGTTTTAACATCATAACGATTTAACCATTTATCATAAAATTTTGACATACATATTGTATTTGGTATAAAGAAGGACATATATTATTTTTATTCCGGTCACGTAGACAAAATCATAAGTAAAAGCCAATAAGCGTCTAACGTGCGTCACCTACTTTTCTCTGTATTTTTATTACTTTTGTTATCTTTTCTGTAAAAGATTGCTTCTAGAGATAATACCGCATTTTATAATTGCACACTCTGTAATAATTTTCCTTGTATACTTTTATTTTGTGCCCAAAAAATATGTTATGTAAATTTCATTTTAAAAACTGCACACACAGCTAACACGGGGCTAATGCGTACTGTCACAGCACTGGAGACTAATTGTTATTTCTATGTGATTATTTAATGAATATTGCGCAGCTTTACTCATGTGAATTAGGTTGAATTTGGCCTATATGTTAATTTAGCTGTAATGGTATGCCTAATTGTATTTTAATCCATTCAGCCACTTGGGCGTGATTGATTAGAATTAATAAAAAATTAAATAGGTAGGGCACAGGTTTTTAATTAAAAAACTGGAAATGTATGACTGACGATTGTAATGTTTAAAACGTTAAGTCCAGATTTTGTAAAAATTATAAAAAAATAAAAATAAAATTAATTAGATTCTTAAACTACAATCTGTACATTTATAATTATTTGTATTTAAAGGTAAGCTTAGCCATTATGTCTCATGGTCAAGGTCATTTGATTCACTTTATCGCTGCCTTGTAACGTTATACTACCTACTATGAGTAATATTATTGGAGCTATTAATTTAGCAACCTGCATTTAACTAACATTAGTTGTAGCATTATAAAATTTCTATTTTCGGTTTATACAAAGAACAAAAAGAAGTATAATACAATTATAAAAAATAAAAAAGAATAATACCAATAAATATGCTAAGTCATATCACTTGAAGCACCGCCACTATTCTCGCCCTTTGTCACTAAGATAGAATGCGCGAAGCTCGATAGACTTCTAGCTGTACACTGGTTCGCACCACCTTATAGAATAAATATGATTTTTCTTTTCTTAGTTTTATAAAATAGGTATGCGCCTATCATTTTTTATATTCTCTTGGACTTCGTGATTTGATTGAAATTATTTACATATACGTAGAGTTTTTCATCATTTCCATTTAAGTCTGGACGGAAGCTATTAATTCTATTAAAATTCATCCATAAAAATGATTGACAGTTAGAAACTTTCACTGATTCATTTCATATCTAAAAATATTCAAAGAATGAATTCCAAATTAGGGTGTTCGAAGAAAGAATGAAGTTGAATAATGGAACTGTCATTATATTACAACCGACGCCTTACTAATAAAATGTAAATTTAATTAATTCCTCGCTTACTCGCCGATTCCTTTTGCATATTTGTATGGGTGCTTGTAATTCGTGGAATGTTTAAGTATAATTGTTATCATTAAAAATATTAAATGAAAATGTATTTAGTTTTAATTTAATTGAATTCATAAGATGGACTACAACTTCGACCGAAAGGTCAACCGACCAATCCAACTGGACTGGGCATCGTTGAGCAAACTACGCCGCATCTTTTCATTTAAAATACCTCAAAGTTTGAAGACGAAGATCTTTAACCAGTGCGTGTTATCAGTACTGACCCATTGAACCGAAACATGGTCCTACACAGGCGCCTGCATACAAAAGTTCTAAATCACTGAGTAAGTGAGCTATGGATAGGGCTATGCTCGGAGTTTCTTTGCGTGACAGATTCCGAAATGAATATATTTGTAAAAGAACCAAAATGACCGACTTAGCCCAAAGGATAAGGAAACTGAAGTAGCAATGGGCTGATCACATAGCTCGAAAAACCGACAACCGATGGGGAAAAAAGGTTCCTGAATAGTTACCCCGTACAGGCAAACGTAGTGTAGGATGAACCCCATTGCAGGAATTGCAAGGCGTCAGTAGATACAGATGAGTCAGGACCGTTCCTTATGGCAGTCTATGAGGGAGGCCTATGTTAAGTTGCTGTAGTCTATCATCATCATCATCATCATCATATTAGCCTTTAACTGTTCACTGCTGAACACAAGCCTCCCCTTTGGGGGGAGAGGTTTGCCAATAGTTTCCACGCTTGGCAAATGTTTTAAGAGAGACGCTGCTGTTCATCCCTCGTCCTCCTTTAGTCGCCTCTTACGACTCCTAAATTTCTAATATTAGCTATGATAAAAAATGCGAATTATTAAATTAACTTGAATAAAAGTTTTTTTATTATAAACAAATGTAAATAAATAATTATAAAGAAATCACTATCATTCCAGTTATCTATTATCCTGTTAGGAAATAGTTCGTTTAGTCATAGATTGAATATCTTAAAATCTTGAAACAATTTTGATAAAAGCTTTAGCTGAAAGGATACAATTTAAATTTCAATTAAGAATTAAAGTAATAATTTACAAGTATAAATTCTTAATTGAAATTTAAGCGTTACGATTATTTTATTGTAGTGTCTTATTATAATTTTATTTAAGTACGCCTAAATTTTATACTCTAATTCTGGCCTATTTCTGTTTGAGGAACTATAAATGATTTTATAAACAATTACAATTTCTGTTAGCTATAAAATTATTGGATTAAAATATTAAATACTTTTTAGTATCGGGCAAGGGCTTTAGAGAAGATTTAAATTTTTTTTTTATAAAAAATACGAGTAGAAGGAATCTTTACTTACCGGAGGGAGACTTTGTACAAAAGTCGATTGCTTAGGCACCTCTGTCCCATTCGTGTTTCTACTGGTTACTACTTCGAGAAGCAGTTGTGTTTGCATGGCTGTGTTTCGGTTTGATGGGTGAAATATGGCAGTGAATTTACAGGGTACAGAGAACACTTAAGTTTTTTAGGAATAACAACGCATGGTGAGCATCATGGGCGAAACAGTATACTCTGTTATGTCTAAAGGCGACGGTTATCACTTTCCTTCAGGTGGGCCGTCAGCTTGTTTGCCATTCTAAATTGCATGAAAAAAACTGTACAAAAGGTGTCTTCATGTTATTTCTATCTACGTATGACAGATATGTATGTAAGCCGCCCATTGGTTTCTCAGTGTAATATTTTTCTTGTAAATATTTGTACTTGTAATAAGTATAATATTGTAACCTTATTGAGAAAACATTAAGGAATTTCTATCTATCTATCTATATATGATAGAGGCGCCAAATATCACTGTTCATGTAGCTATGTTTCAGTTTAAAAGGGTAGTACACACAAGGAACAGTCTTAAGGAATAGAAAGCCTATAACCTTGGATCTTTCAAACGCAGCATGGAAAAGCACTTAGTGAGTTGGTATAATGCGGTCAACCGTTGAGAGTAAATCATTCTCTTTTCGGTTGATCGTGTTCATGAATCATGTTGTCTCTATGTTCACTAAGGATGGTGCAGTCAAATGTCGTACTATAATGAAAAATGCATGACGGATATTATTGACGTGAAAATCCATTTTCTAAGACCTAGTCTACTGTTCATATCTATAGGCGATGGTTAATCTTTTCTTTTTTCTATGCGAATTAGTCACCATTTCCAATTTCATTTCAATTTCCATTTCCTTACCGAGGTTTTCCCAAGGGACTACAGTATGGGGTTCTTCAAAAGGCGGGTAAAGAGGTTTCTTCAGGATCGGCAACGCACGCGTAATACCTCTGGTATTGCGGGCGTTTATAGGCTACGGTAACCGCTTACCATCAGGTGGGCCGTATGCTTGTTTGCCATCTCAGTGGTATAAAAAAAATCACCTAATATTCAATGATGACAAATCTAGATTATTATAAATTTAGTCTAGGCTTATACGAAAAACATGATTTTCTTTTTTCGATCTCTTGGGATTTTTTTTTCCATTTTAGATGATCACTAAGGAAAATCTTAGTTAACGTCGCTAAAACACATCCCTTGTCTATTAGCTCTCACGAAATTCATGAATAAGACATGTGAAAAGAGTGAATGGGCGTTGTAAGCTTTTCCGTTAAATAAACGAGAGTTCACAGAATGAATCTTAGTTATACAATGTATGTGTCTTTTTTTACCACTCAAATTGGCAAGAATTTGACGGGCTAGTCAATGAAAAACGGTAACCATGAACAGTGTCATGTATCATAAAATAAATACATTACCCTTCTTAAGGATTCACTTATCTTTGAACTTAATAACTGAACATTAAATATATATTGTATGAATAAAAAACATAGCGAAGACTCCTGAAGTCGCTTTGAATAAAAAGTTGATGTCAGATATTCATCTGCCCTCTCTTTTTCACTATATAAATAGATTTGGTGAAATTTTGCCAGAACTATTAAAATATATATGATATTTTAATCTATTAATTAGACAAATTCATTAATATCAGCCATGTCAAACAGTGATTGGTTAGGGTCCGGGAATTTTAAGAGCAAATCCCGGCTCTCTGAATTTTGAAATTCATATTTGGATACTTTAATAATTAAGATTGTGATCCATTAAAAATGCCAACTTGAATTGTGGCAACATCT